CCATGTGGGTGTACAGGAGGTGAAAGTACATAAAAAACAGTTTGGGTGCAAGGGCATAATTGTAATAAATATATATATATATATATTAAAAGGTGTTAATAAAAGAATGAGGTGTGAATAAAATTTCTCTAATAAATAACTTGAGATCCCATATATAATTTATAAACAATAAATTCTTTTGATTTTTTTTAAACAATGTTCTTAAATAAAGAATAAAAAATAGTGAGATCAGGAAAAAAAAAAAACATAAATAATGCCGACAAGGATGCATTGCTTTTTTTTGTTTTGTTTTGTTTTAGCACGTTATTTTTTTCATAGCAAAATTTATCTCTACACGAATTAGCCTAGCTATATAAAAACTGATTTGGATTTTCTTTCTATCAGTTATTGAGGTAAAATCTTTTAACATGTTGAAAATAACCTAATCACATAAAATTAATTTAACAACAATGACATAAATAAAAAAGTGTTATTTTATTGATGACATTTTAAAAAAAATTTCCTAATAATAAAGAGACAAATGTAACCTTTCGAGAATTTTCGGAATTTATTCCCGGTACACATTTTCTTTTCAATTCAACTTGCATTTATTTTACATCCGAATATTTTACCTCTTTTTTTGTTTCTTATTAAAAGTCAAACTACATTATTTGTCACTTTTCGCTCTCCATTCTATTTATCTACACTTATTCTCGTTAAACTTTTGTCAAACTTTACCTACTTTTTAGAGATTTCTAGACCTCAATAACAAATAAACAAATAAAAAAGAAGTAAACCCTTTTAAAAAGGTAACTTCTACGTATAATTTTTTTTTTCTTTTTTCAATAAACTAAACACGCCGTGCGACTTTAAGTAGTAATATTATAGGATGAACAGACAATGCTTCCCTTTTCTTCGAGGGAGACGGGAGAAGGACTAATTGATTAAAGATCTATTTAGTTTATTGATTTGAGTTTTTAATTTGAGTTGAGATGTGATTTTATATGAAAATTTTTTATTGTAGTAAAAAGATTAAATACGACTGTTTTTAAGAACTTTTTACTATAACAAAACTTAAATTTTAAACTCAAATCAATAAAATAAACGCAATTTAAAATTCATTATTAGAGACAACTTATAATTGGCTACCTACTCTTCATTGAATAATTTAGAGGGAGTACTATAGATCAGCAAATCTTGTCGTACATGTGATAGTATCAGAATAACAAATATATACACTGCACAACCACCCAAAAAAAAAATTATACACTGCACACAGCACATATACGTGTAATATATGTATTATATGTATATATCTCCATAAAAAATTCTAAAAATATAACCGCATGCTATGGATGATAAATAATAATAATAATAATAAATAAGTTGATCGTGGGTTGTACCTTTAAAAAAAAACAAGTCGTTGATGGTACTTGAAATGAAAATATCAAAGAAAAAAGAAAGAAGAAAGAAGCTTCTTCTTCTGCTGAGCTCACAACATACATACAAATATAAATTAATAAAATAAAAATAAAGAACGTACCACCTTAAAAAAAAAAAAAAAGTCAGTTTGACTATGACTTCATTTTGTTGCTACTAGACTAGGTAGTCCAGCTCCGGCCAGTCTGTGATGAGATATCCCCTTTATTCGCGCATTTTTTGTCGTTGACCCTTTAACAAAATCATATAACATTTCTCTAATATAATATTATAATTAACGTATCAATTATAAATTTAAAATTTAAATATAAAAAATACTCTTTATATAATGTTATTTATTATACTAAATTTTATATATGTTATATTTTATAATAAATTTTTCACTAAGTATAATATATAAAAAATTTAATATTTAATTACTATTAGTTAAAATATTTACTTTTTTTATGTGATCAATACAATTTTTATATTTTTTAATTATTTTAAAAATAAAAGTTTATTTTTTTAACTTTTAAAACTTAATAATTATAGAAAAAATAAATATAACCCTCAAATAGCATTATATATTAAAATAAAAATAAAAATAACATATCATTGACATTAATATTTACATTAGAAATAATCTTAATTAACTATTGTGACTTTTGAATTAATGTAATATGAGTCGATTCCCTCTCTTTTGTCTCCAAACTTTTACCACTAATATGAAGATGGAGTTTCTTACTTTCTATACCCATTCATTTACTAATTTTTGAGTTGTATAGCAGATGATGTGGCAATATGCTTATTAGTTTCTATTGTATAAAGGGATTTTTTTCTTATAGTTCTTATAAAAATAAATTATCAGTGGTTTCTTATTTTTTAGTCGTTAAATTTGTATCAGACTCTGTTTATTTTGTATATTTTTAAATCTAATACAATTTTGACCAAATCTAACGATTAAAAACTAAATCTACTAATAAGACGGACTATTAAAGAAACTCCCTTCTATAAAATATCGTAACATGAATAATATTAAATACACATTTAGATATTTCATCTCACTAATTTTCATGATGTTACTCTATGTCATCTCAAACAAAGACACTTATAATAATTACAAAAGCTCGACCTTCTTTAATACGATCTCATATCTTCATATCTTCCACCTTCTTTAATACGATCTCATATCTTCTACACCTACTATTTACAATTATGCCACTTCACGTTATTCTCATGCGTTCGTTATTTAATATTGCTTCCAACTTTTGGTTCTAGATTCCCAACAATGACGGTACATATTCTAGAAAACAAAACTCCTATCTTTTTTTTTTGTCCGTTTTACATTGTTGCTTTCTTCTTCTTATTCTTCTTGTCTTTTTTTCCCATGTTATTTGCCTTGACTTAATGCATTCAATATGTGAGTATGAAGTTGGAGAATTTTAATCAGAATCCACCCTAAAAATATATGTTCTAGTACTGTTTCAAAAGGACACAAAATTTTCGAAAGTTGATATTTTGGGTAAAAAAAAAACCGTGGATATGAGCAACATACATCTTAGTGGATCGATTCTAAAACCAGAAAAAAAAAAACGCTTCCATATGTGTACCAAGAATTTTTTTTTTCCTTCAGTTAGTTTTTTTTTTTTTTTTTAAATTATTATGAAATAACCATAATAAATAGATACATTTAATTAAATGTCAAAATTATTTGGACCCCCAAACAATTGCCTTTTCGGCCTAGAGATTGAGCCGGTCCTGGTTTGATTTGGACGATTAATGAAATTCAGTTCAGTTTTCCCTTTAAAAATGATGGTCAAAATAAATCTATCAAATCTGAGTAATATATTATCAAGTTGTTATATCAATGTGGCCAACCTATTATATATCCTAGCCAATGATTAGATCACACGTGTCACGTGCAGTGATCCATAAGGCATAAAGCTACGGAAGCATTTTCTTCATATCTTTCGGTTTTGCTCGAATTTTTTTCTTTCGTTTTGCATGGATAATTAATGTCCTCGTTCGCGGCATAATAAACACCCAATATATATAATATATATCCGTTCCAAGAACTTCTCTGCGAACGTGCCTTATAATTCGTTTAATTAATGGAAGATTAATCAAAATACCAGCACATAAAAAATTGGTCCCCGCTGGCCGCTGCTAAAAATACATCCATGATATTGCGACTGATTTTTTCTTTCTTTTTTTTAACCTCAATTATTGTGGCATCTTCACTCTGCAAATATTTTCAAAACCTTCTCATGGTCAGTCATGGAAAACACCACCCACCTTACTATATGATTTCTTATTTTTTGTTGGAGGACGTACTGACATTATTATATACCTATCACGTTGATGTCTATTGCGCGTATATATGGTTAAATTATGTGTATATATAGACAAATTTTTAATAATTACATTTTTATTGTAGTTATTCATCAAATATAAAAATTTGATGATACAACGTGATAATAATATAGTTTCATATTTTGTTATAAATTTTTTTAATTAACTTTTCAACTTATTACAATTGCCGAATTAATATTTTACAGTTAAAACAATAATATACATCAATATAAAAATAACCATTAAAACCGCATCCATCTATCTTTAAGTTCGTTTAAATGAACCAATGATCAATTCTCCCAATATGTAGTAGCAGCTATCAGTTCTTCCAATGCATAGCAGCATACAAAACATAAAAACCAAAGTAGTTTCCCTTTGCAAAAATATCCAACAATGGTGTCCTCGTTGCTGTCAAAATAATTCTATCAAATCTGAGTAATATATTATCAAGTTGTTATATCAATGTGGCCAGCCAATGATTAGATCACACGTGTCACGTGGTAGTGTTCCATAAGGCATAAGCTACGGAAGCATTTTCTTCATATCTTTCGTTTTTGCTCGAATTTTTTTCTTTCCTATTGGATGGATAATTAATGTCCTCGTTCGCGGCATAATAAACACCCTATATATATAATATATATCCGTTCCAAGAACTTCTCTGCGAACGTGTCTTATAATTCGTTTAATTATTGGAAGATTAATCAAAATACCAGCACATGAAAAATTGGTCCCCGCTGGCCGCTGCTAAAAATACATCCATGATATTGTGACTGATTTTTTCTTTTTTTTAACCTCAATTATTGGGGCATCTTCACTCTACAAATATTTTCAAAACCATCTCATTGTCAGTCATGGAAAACACCATCCACCTTACCATCCGGATCATATCTGATGTCTTAAAAATTTGATGGTGTAACGTGATAATAATTTAGTTTCATTTATTATCATAAATTTTTTTTATCAACTTTTCAATTTATTACAAGCATCAAATTAATATTTTACAACTAAAACAATAATATACATTAATATTAAAATAGCTATTAAAACCACAACCATCTATCATTAAGTTCGCACAAATGAACCTATCAATTCTCCCTATATATAGTAGCAGCTACCAATTCTTCGTATACATAGCAGCATACAAAACTAAAAAACCAAAGTAGTAATTTCCCTTTGCAAATATCCAACATTTAATGGCGTCCTCGTTGAAACTGGCAAACGGTGGTCCAAAAGTCCTTTGCCATGACAGGAAAGAAGAAGAGGAAGCGTTCTCCCAGGCCATGTGCCTAGTGATGTCCAGTGGGATGCCCGTATGCTTAAAGACAGCATTTGAGCTCAGAGTTTTCGACATTATTGCGAAAGCCGGGGAAGGAGCTAAGCTCTCGTCGGCGGAGATCGTAGCCCAAATGCCCACCAACAACCCGGATGCAGCCACCATGCTCGACCGCATCCTTAGGCTTCTAGCCAGCCACTCTGTGCTCAGTTGCTCCGTGGTGAGTGATGATAATGGGTGCAATGTCCAGAGACTCTACGGCCTTTCTCCTGTGTCAAAGTATTTTGTGACTAATGAAGATGGCGTTTCACTGGGTCACTTTATAGCTATGGTACAAGACAAGGTCTTTGTAGATACCTGGTATGTCTTGCTTTCTTTTTGGGAACTTTTACCGGTAGACCTTCCTACTGATAGTATAATTTCTAACAATTAAATCTAACAATTAAATTTGGTTAAAATCATATTAAATTCTAACAATTAGATCTGATCAAAATAATATTAAATTAAAAAGATATACAGAACATATAATTTTTAATATAAATATGATAACTAAAGAGTAGAAAATTACAGGTAGCTTCTTTTTTTTTTTTTTTTTTTTAAATTCTACTAGAAAAACTCTCTAACTTTTTGAATATTTTTCCTATATAGTATCAATTTACAAGACTTGGCTTTAAAAAGAATGATTCTTGAAGTATAGGTTATATAATGTTTTTGGTAGAATGAAGATTTTGTTTTTTTTTTTAACAATAACCTTATTATAATTTTGGCCATATGAGTAAAGTGAGCTTGGTACAAGCTTTCAATATTTAACTTTGTCAACTTTAATTGCACGTATACAGGCTAGTATTTTAAATTAATTTTTAGTATCCTTGTACTCTACTCAATCTGAAACTAAAGTTATGATCGCTGAATTGCAGGCCCCAACTGAAAGCTTCAATTCTTGAAGGAGGAAATGCATTCAACATAACCTATGGAATGCATGCCTTTGAATATATAGGCACGGACCTAAGGTTTAATAAGGTTTTCAGCAAAGCAATGCACAGCCATTCAACTGTTGTTATGAAATCGATCCTTGAGCATTACAAAGGTTTTGAAAACATTAAACAACTGGTAGATGTTGGGGGTGGTCTTGGAGTGACCCTTAACCAAATAACTTCCAAATACCCACATATTAAGGGTATTAATTTTGATTTGCCGCATGTTGTAGAAAACGCTCCTTCTTATCCAGGTATAATCTTAATTAAATTTTTCAAAGATTATTTCTCTTATATCAAAGTACCAACAAACAAACCACATTAATCATGAATTCTTATTTCTCTTATAGTAATTTTTTGCAATAACTCAAAACTTGTAGACTAAAAAGCCGAATTTAATATTGTTGTTGCAGGTGTTGAGCATGTAGGTGGAGACATGTTCCAAAATGTTCCATGCGGCGATGCCATATTTATGAAAGTGAGTTTCGTAAAACTTTTAGTGCATCAATTAATGTTTGTTTGTGGTTGTTAATTATTGTAATTGATGATGATGTAGTGGATACTTCATGACTGGACCGATGAGCACTGCTTAAAGCTATTGAAGAATTGTTACAAAGCTATTTCGAATGATGCAAAGGTTATAGTTGTGGATTCAATTCTTCCGATCATGCCAGAGACTAATTTTGCTGTGAAGAGTTCTCTTATATCAAAGTACCAACAAACAAACCACATTAATCATGAATTCTTATTTCTCTTATAGTAATTTTTTGCAATAACTCAAAACTTGTAGACTAAAAAGCCGAATTTAATATTGTTGTTGCAGGTGTTGAGCATGTAGGTGGAGACATGTTCCAAAATGTTCCATGCGGCGATGCCATATTTATGAAAGTGAGTTTCGTAAAACTTTTAGTGCATCAATTAATGTTTGTTTGTGGTTGTTAATTATTGTAATTGATGATGATGTAGTGGATACTTCATGACTGGACCGATGAGCACTGCTTAAAGCTATTGAAGAATTGTTACAAAGCTATTTCGAATGATGCAAAGGTTATAGTTGTGGATTCAATTCTTCCGATCATGCCAGAGACTAATTTAAGAGCGTCTTGGCATCTGATACGAGCATGTTGGCTGCACATCCAGGGGGAAAGGAGCGGAGCCAACAAGAGTTCTTAGCCCTAACAACTGGCGCAGGATTTAGCGGAATCAAATTTGTGGGTTGTGTTTGCAACTATTGGATTATGGAGTTATATAAGTAGGGTGGCATGTCATTTATGGCTTATATTTTCTGTCATTTAGTAAAAACATGATGATATCACGCTTTCGACTGTAAAATATCATCGTCTATCAATAAAAGTTTGTTGTTTTATTTTAACTTGCTTATATACATTTTATAGCTGTGCATACGACCCGTTTAAAAGGTGTAATCAAATCATTATTTTTTATTTTGATATTTTAAATTTTTTAAGAGAAAAAAATACCGTAACAGAATTAATGATTTAAGTTTAAATATATGAAATAAATGAGTCATAGTCTTTGGTCCGAAATTATTTGCCCGTTTTAGTCCGGCGGGCAAATTGTTGCTATAAGATGAAAATTGATGTTCTGGATTTAATGGATGGCGCAAACGAATGCCTATATATAATCCTGGCCTATCACTTTGCAAGTGCTAACTTTTGGTGGACAGATGTTAGTAGAGGGAGCTGACGCTGGCAGAACAAAAGTTGACAAATGGAGCTGGTTTAGGAAGCCTGTCAAAATCTATTAATATTTTATAACAAAATGAAGGGTGTAGATGTAAATATGATTAATAAAAAACAATTTATATAGTTAGAAAAATATAAAAAGGTGTTAAAAAATTTAAGAGTATGTTTATTTCACAACTCAAATAATAATTTAAGTTATGATTTGAGTTGTATATATGAGAGAAAAATATTGTATTAAAAAAATTAAATTTAAATTTTGACAAAAAAAATATTATAACAATAAAACTTAAGTTGTGACTTGAGTTATAAATGAATAAAGTTAAGATGTAAGGAAGACGTTAAGTACAGACTATAGTGACCCTTGACTTAGCAATGTGTAGTAATATTGAGGGAAGTATAGCATTTCTTGGTTTCTGTGGAAGCTCAGGAACAAGAAGGCCTTTAGTGCATTTTTGTCTTTTAATTAAAAAGAGAAGGCATATAAAGCTCACATGCGAAAATCTGTTAGAAATTTAACGAAATTTGAAGGAAAAAAATCAAATTGCACCCGTTTAAAACGATTGACGGTCGTTTTACTAAAAAAAAAAAAAAATTAGAGACCAAACTGTTACTTACTAAAAAAGTTAGAGATTATTTGTGTAAATTACCCGTATTAAAATGATGCGTTAATTTACTTGTTACTTTTTTGAGTTAATTACATATGTCCATTTTACCATGAATGAAAAATGGAATCTCCCGAAGTTGCTATATTTGTATATAAACCTGTAAAACTAACCTGTAATGACATTTTTTTCCTAGTTAATTACTTTTTAAAATTCGTTATATAAATTCACAACCACCTACATAAAAAAATATATTTAGAATTATATTATATCATAATCATAAAATAAATAAATTAATAATACTGTTGAATTGAAGACACGTCCTAAACATAAAGCGTAAAAATAATCATTTCGTATAATTACTTCTACTTTTTTACCTATCTTGACTTTTTTCCTTTTGGACAAACGGTCTTCTGGCAGTCCGTTCCTGAATCTTTGACTGTGGTTGTCCCTAAGCAAGTCAACCATGGAAATATTAACTAGCAGTTCGACATCTAGAAGTTTGGGTCGGCTCAAAGACATGCCGATCATCCAGTGGCTCCCAGTGGCTCCCCATCACGATCAAATCATAATTAAGTTTGTTGAAATAAACCAATCAATTCTTTATATATATAATTTTAGCATACCAAATTAAAGACCAAACTAGTTTCCCTTGAAAATATCCAACAATGGGGTCCTTATTGAAACTGGGAAATGGTACAACTCTAAAAGTTCTTAGCCATGAGAGTAAAGAAGAGCCGACGCCATGCACCTAGTAACGTCCTATGTGATGTCAATGTGTTTGCATACTGCAATTGAGCTCGGAGTTTTCGACATTATTGCCGAAGTCGGCGAAGGAGCTAAGCTCTCACCGGCGGAGATTGCAGCCCAAATGTCCACCAACAACACCGATGCGCCTGCTATGCTGGACCGCATCCTCAGGCTTCTATCCAGCTACTCTGCGCTTAGTTGCTCTGTGGTTAGTGTTGATAATTGGTTGAATTTCCGCAGGCTCTATATCCTTAGTCCAATGTCCAAGGACTTTGTGACTAATGATGGTGTTTCTTTAGGACCCTTGATATATTTGGGACATGAAAAGATCTTCTCGGATAGCTGATTTGCATTTGCTCTCCATTTTTCATCTTTTCTTACAATAAATGAATCTTTCAGTCACTTTCGAAAAGAAAATTCTTAGCGATTTACAAATAATAAAATTCCTACCAAGATATAGTCATATTTGAATTATAGTAATCTATTATTTGGGCCAGATAAATAATAGCTTAGTAATTACAATTCAGAAACTTCGATTTACTTGTCTAATTTTCTTATTTGACCTCTATCTTTTATAAAACCATTCAACACCGTAATAGTATTTCCATTTTCTTTCTGTATTCTGAAACAAGATTTTAACTGAATTTATAGGTCCCAGCTGAAAGGTTCAATTCTTGAAGGAGGACTTGCTTTAACAGGGCTCATGGAATGCATGCCTTTGAGTATTCGGGTTTTGACCAAAGGTTAATGAGGCTTTCAATTCAGGAATGCACAACCACACAACTATTGTTATGAAGAAAATCTTGAAGCATTACAAAGGCTTTCAACACTGAAACCAATTGGTGGACGTTGGTGGTGGTCTAGGAGTGACTCCTAGAGATGCAAGAACGGGCCGGCTCGGCCCGTTCTCCTTAGGTCCATGCAGGCCGTGGGCCGGGCCGGCCCAGCCCATGAAATTTGTAGGCTAGGTCGGGCCGTATAAGAATTATCTCGGCCTAACCCACACTACGGGTCAAGTTTACGTGGGCCAGGCTGGGCCGTGTGGTGGGTCAGGATGGGCCGTGTGGTGGGTCTTGAATGGGCTGACCCATTTAAGGCCCATCATGGGTTTAGATGGGCCAGCCCATCTAAGCATGCAATTTTCAAATTTTTTATTTTTGAATTTTTAAACAAGTTAACAAATATAAATGTTTGAATAGTCAATGAAAATATGAAAATGGATATTTTATTTACGATTGTCTCATTAAAAACCTTTTCAAGGAAAATCCAGTGGAACAAAACATTTGTAAGGAAAAAAGAATATAATCAAGATTATTATACACAAGATGTTTACAAAATTACTAAAAAATACATAAAAAAATAAATATTTTTCATAATGATGAGTGGGAGTATCGGAAATGTCTAAAATTTTAAAGTCATCAACAAATGAAAAGCTGGCCTATCTATTGTGGGCCTCTATGGGCCTTACACAGGCCAGCCCATTATGGGCCTAGACGGGCCGACCCAACCCGGCCTGGCCCATGGGCCAATATATGTTGGCCTAGCCCAACCCACTAATATTTATAGGCTGGGTCATGCCTTAAACAGTAACAGATCGTGCCAACCTAGACCGTCACTGTGTCAGGATGGGCCTGGACCGACCTACGGGCCCCTGCCCATTGTTACATCTCTAGTGACTCCTAGTCAAATCACTTCCAAGTATCCACATATTAAGGGTACTAATTTTGACTTGCCTCATGTTGTAGAAAATGTCCCTTCCTATCCAGGTATATAATTTTATTCTATCTTTTATTAGTTCTTTGTATCACAATATCAATAATTTAATATATTATTTTCTTATTTGTTTTGCCGATTTAATTCAATTCGATTCAATTCGAACTATGAATACAATTTAAATTTGTGTTTAGTAAGCTCACAGTCCAAATTAAATTCACTATTTAAATTGAGTTAAACTATTCAAGTTAGAGTTTAGTTTCCATTTTAAGTTCAACCGTTCAATTTATTTTTTAACAGTAAAGTGGTACCCACTCTCTCTACTTTTCACAACTACCAAAGACAAATTTGAATTTTATTTTTTGTTCAAAATAAAATTTTAATTGCACATCTAAATACGAATTCAAACTACAATTTAAACTAAACAGTTGAAATTTTTTTGTTCAAATCAACGAAATTCGAACCAGTGAACTAAACGGGGGCGATATTTCTCATGAATTCTTAATTTTGATAAATATTAGCAATTTTTTATGATACATCACTTGAAATTTGAAGCTAAAAGAAGTGTTTTAACATTTCTCACTAGTAGAAATCTGGTATTTCACAACCGTTAATAATCATTGTTAAAAGATTGGATGACGTTTAGGAGAACCGCCGTCTAATCACGAGTCGTTAAATGTCTGTAGCATATAACGACGATTTTTATCCGTCGTTAAAAATGACATTAGACGCGGTTTTCTTAGTAAACCATTGTCTAATCTCGATAATGATAGGCTTGGTGCGTATTTTAGATGACGGGTTTTTATAAGAAAAAACGTCGTCTAATATTGAGATTTAACGACGGTTTTATGAAAAAACCGTTGTTATATGTTCTTCCTAAATAAAAAAAAATCGAGTTGCATTTTTGTTGTTCTACGGGTTGGCTTATTAATCTCATGTTTTATAAGTTTTTTTTACCACAATTCATAGAATCATTATAACCGCAGAACAAAATATTAAATTTCTAAATAAAAATGAATTATAAATATTAAATAATACATCAATAAATGTAGTTTATGATTAATATTACTACAACATATTAATTAAATGTTCATATAAATTACAACAACATATAATTTATCATTTTTTTCTCTTTTTATTTTTTTCAACACATATCCATTCAACATCTAAAATAACAAGATTTGAATCATCATCAGCAAAAACACGTATCTCTAATGTTTAAACTATCCTAAAATTATAACCTGAGTTTTAAAAAAAGAAGTAAAATATATCCCTTTAAATAGTTAAATTGTTAAAAGTGAAGTAAATGCCGCCAACTATTAATTAAATATTATCTTAATATTAAAAATTATTATCATTTATGTCTCTTAAATTTTAGGATCACCCCACTTTACCTCCTGAACTTTGAAAATTTTCACCTTGTTAATAACCAAGAAATTAAATTTAGAGAAAAAGTAATATTTTTTATGGAATAAATTCTTCCCTTTT